TCGTTGGTCTTCCTCTGGGGTTTGCAGCTGCTTATACGTTCTTGATGTTCTTTCTTTTTTTCCTTTTCGCTACGTCCTGGGGTCAATGGATCGCTGCTTTAAGGTGAGTGTCTCGGATCAGTCTTGTGGGAGATAAAAAGAGGTACGTGGCCGTCTGACAACTATCCAGCGCGGATTCAATGGTGGCTGCTACTCTTATGCCATTTTTCATCATCATGTGCGAGCTGTTCAATGGCATCTTGCAGCCACACAAGAACATGCCTGTGTTCTGGAAGTACACGATGTACTATGTCACGCCGTTCACTTACTGGATAGGTGGGGTATTAACGTCTGTTCTACGTGGTATGCCCGTTGTCTGCAGTCAAGATGAATTAGTTGTTTTCGAGAGCCCGCCCAACATGACGTGCGGCAAGTATGCGATGGCCTGGTTGTCCAGTACGGGCAGCGGTTATCTCTCAAATCCAGATGGTCGTGGCCACTGCGGATACTGCAAGTATAGTCGAGGTGATGATGTGAGTCTTATTTGGTCCCGAATTAAAGGAAAGGTTGCTAACTCCACCAGTATCTCTCGGAGATCGGTCTAGACGAGTCCAAAATCTGGCCTTATTTTGGTATATTCACCGCATTTGTCATCTCAAATTACCTCATGATCTATGTACTGGTTTATGTGCGCTCGGTTATGAAGCCCTTGTGGCGTTGACAGCGGAGGGTGTCCACTGTCTTCTGTCAACAGGATTATTTCTGACTGACTCGTTCCTGCGAGGGCACTCTTTTTTGGATTTTTTGTTTTGAATATAGCATTGTAGGCCAACACAGTATGACTATGGAACATTGTCCTGAAAGTGATACTGAATTCACTCGCGCTGCCTGTTCATAGGGTGAGGAGTAAAGCCCAGCTGGAGACCTGTAACTGGATCGTTTGTATAATTTAATAAATAGGGTTGACTGGCCAAAGAAGGAACAATCTCGCACTCAGGACAAACAATGTCATCCTAATTCATAACTGCTATGCAATAATGCGAGCATCCATTCAGCGCTGACAGGACCCTGAAAGTCCGAAGGCGGACTTTATTACTGTAACCGGCACATCCGAAGGGAATGCCGACTCCCGGAAACTACTGCCTTTAGTAACTCCGAGATGCAACGACAATAATCGCCGATTCCCTTCGCAGTCAGCATTACAGGCAACGACCATCAGGACAGTTCAAAATCCGATCAGACTGAGTCATCTTTAGGGGTACAGAGTCGATCAGATAAGCTCTTGGTGGGTCTAGTCTCCATGACTGTTGGACCATTACCAGTTATTCTAACATCGGCGACCGTTGAATGGCCCCTGAGCTAAGCATCACCGTGAAAACCACGCCTGCAGGGTCATAGGTCATCGACGTACTGATTCCGTCGCAATTCAAAGATGGACGCCGACGAGGAGTCGTCACCTCATATGGAGCAGTCAAGGTCATCGCCCAAATCCGCAGCACGTCGGCGCAGACCACCGCTGTCATGCACCGTGTGCAGACGGCGAAAGCTCAAATGTGATCGAGCATTGCCATGCAGCCAATGCATCAAGTCCAAGACTCCAGATCAGTGCATCTATGTAGGAACTCACGCTGGCTCGCTATCAAGAGTCCGACGCGCTGAAGATCGAGACACAACTGTCAATGACCGTGCTCGGGCGTCCGCAGATCGCGGCAGTCCTGTTTATAGTGGTGTCTATGTCTTCGACTCCAAGCACCAACCCTTTCCGACCAGGGCTACAAAGCCTAAAAGCCGCTCTGATGAGATGCAAGAGCTGCGTAAGCGAGTTCTGACACTAGAAAATGCATTGGCAAAGGCCAGCTCGATTCAAACTCCAGAGACCCTCGGGACCGTACCCTCGATCGTCTTAGAATCGGGACACCGTACAACGGGAGACGAACGCTATCTCAGCGAAGACATCAGATCTCTCCCATGGGCGTCCTTTCGGGGAAAAAAGTCTAACACTAGGTACTGTGGTCGCTCGCACTCTGTCTTGGCCCTTTCATTCGTAAGTTGCTAGCACTCCTGTCGGTTGGTGTATCCCTCCGGGCTAAGTTCTTGTAGTTTCGGGATGTGGGTGATTTCTTGAGGCAGCGCAAATCCAAACATAAGAAAGATTCCGAGTTTGGATCTCTGAAACAATTTCAGAAAGAAATGTGGCTCAAGCAAAGACAAGAACAGCAGCAACGTGTGCGTCAGGAGCAGGCTTCTTCTTTTGTGGACCTGCTTCCTCCTCGCCGAGTCGCTGATGAGCTAGTCCAGTTGTACTTGTCCAATTTTGAAACCACATATCGCATCCTGCATATACCAACCTTTCTGAAGCAGTATGAAGATTACTGGATTGCACCCCAGAACCCCGATATGGTTTTCTTGGCCAAGCTTTTGCTTTTGATGGCCGCTAGCAGTTGTTTTTACAGCCCGACAACAAAGATCAACGGCAAAGATTCAATTGCGAGTACTACAATACATTGGATTGAAGCTGTCCAGACATGGAGCGCAACGTCATTTGCGACTCGGAACACCAACTTTGATATGTTGCAAGTCCATTGTCTGCTGTTGATTGCGCGCCAAGCAATCGCTTTTGATGGGGATACCATTTGGATATCATCTGGCTCGTTAATACGATCAGCCATGTCCATGGGCTTACACCGGAACCCGTTGCGCTTTCAGAAGCTGTCTAGATTCTGGGCAGAAATGCGCCGCCGTTTGTGGGCTACCATACTAGAGTTAGACCTACAATCGTCGATGGATGGAGGGATGCCGCCAACGATTGACCTGGAGGAGTACGATTGCGATCCACCGTCCAACTATGATGACGCAGATCTGATCGAAAGTATGACAGAAGATCCCCCTCCCAAAGATCCCGACATCCTCACTCGGAGCAGCTTTCAGGTTCTACTTTCGCGTTCATTGCCCGTGCGAGTACACATAGCAAAGCTCGTCAATCGCCTGAGATTCACAATCTCGTATGACGAGGCTCTGCGCTTGAGCGAGGAGCTCATGCAGTCTCTGAATGATGCTTTGGAACTGTTCCCGAGCGACGGATATCCGTCGCATATACCGGGTGTTGAGAATCCCGCATTCACCAAGTCGTTTTTCATTTTCCTAATACGAAGGCATTTGCTAGCCCTCCATCGCCCTTTTTGCCTCAGTATCATGCGAACCCCCAAATTCTCCTACTCACGAAAGATTTGCCTCGACTCGGCTCTAGATATGCTCTCCTTGCTGGAGCCCCCTCTTGACGTTACCGAAGCACAGCCCCATCCTCACCTTGGACATTTGACCGGCGGAATGTTCCGTGAAGAGCTATTCCATGCGGCGATAATGGTGTGCGTGGAGCTAGTTCTGCAGGCTGACGAGTATTTGCGGTCAAAGTCCATGTTCTCAGGCCAAGGCAGCGTCTTAAGGTCTCTCAACGACATGGCGGAATCCCAGCAAGCTGTCATGGTACGTGCAGTTGAGAACACCCTTAATGTCTTCGGCAGTCGCATTGCTCCAGGTGGAAGGGGTTGTAAGCCGTACCTCTTCCTAAATCTCACACTTGCATCTGTCAAGGCGCGCTTGAAAGGGGAGGATCCCTTCATGATTATGGATCAAGCTGGTACAAACGCCATCAGAGATTGCCATTTACTGATGAGCGGGGTGCCTTGGGCCGACGTACGCAAGCAAGATGAAAACAGCACAAAGGAAGTGAGTGGTTGCAGCTTCGCAACACAGCAGCTATTACTAATTCGGGACTAGGCCAGTATTTCAACGCCTGGGCTCACTGCGGGTACGCCTCTCGATTTGCCCTTTGACCCTATGTCTTTCGTCCCTAGCTCCATGGAGGACATTTCGGTAAGACCCTGTGGCAGATGGTTGAATCGACTTAGAAGCTGACAAACTAGCCGATGGACTTTGGAACCCTTTTCGACATGGCCGACTATGGAGCTCCCGAAATTTGGAATAACGATTTCTTCTCCGGGCTTTAAGCAACTAGCGTGCATGAAGGAAGGTGTTTATGAATCAAGGAGTTAACTTGCGATCTTCGACTGGGAAATTTTCAACTAGCTTAATATACAGAAACCGCTCGGTTAGGTCCCATGATAGATGAAACAAAGCTTTCCTCGCCTGCGATACAAGTCAGTCATCTCGGCAGGGGAAGCTACTGTGCACTGATACCGAGTATAAAAGTTGGGCAATCATAAGCTCCAGCAGCTCTTTTACACCATCGAGTTCTGCATATATTTCGTTCAGTATAGTCGTTGCCTCACAAGGGCCCTCGGGCTATGTCGTTGCTTCGTCCCAAAGAACATTTTTCTTCACCACTGATGATTATTATCATAAATGATGAAAATGCCGTACAGCTGCACACAATACCAGGGTTTGAATAATATCCCAGGAGAAAGGCGTTTGGTGTCTGACTGTTGACGCATGCTGTCGCAGTCGCCGCCGCGGCTCCAGCAGCTATAGCGATTGCGACGTCATTCGACGGTATTCTCTGCCCTCCGTATGCGCACTAATGAGTCAATGACAAGACTATCATGATTGAAGGGATGATATAATCATCACCGTACAATGCTTGTTTCATGCACATGTGAACCTTCATTGGTGGAACTTCTTTGCTAATCCCTGTACCCCAACGGAGGAAATATCGCGCAAAACACGAGCGCTCGATGCTTGAAGAAATTAGCTTGTCCTTGAGTCAGTGTCCCCCAGCTCTCCCCGCATAATGCGGAGAAGCATCAAAAGACTTCGCTCTGGCAGTCCCAATGGACGGATTTTATAGGCGGATAAACTCTTTTCTTGCGTCTTACAGGCAGTCCCTCTAGCTCATGGTCCGGGGAAAGCCAAGCACTGGGGAAAAATGGCAGAAGGTCTGAGCGCTGGCAACTCGGTAGAAGTCCTCACTATAAGAGGGTCAGCATGGGCATCGGAATGCGAGTGCCGGGCTGAATTGACTGTCTCTAGTTGTCCGCATCCTGTAGCGAGACACCGAGCTCGCCATGAAGTTTCTCGCTCTTGCAGCGCTCTTCGCGAGCACAGTCAGCTCATTTGCAGTTGATGGCATCATTCCTGGCGCAAGGGTCATCCCTGCTAACGACGTGGTAGCCCTGAAGAAGGTTGGGGCTCACCATGACAAGCATCCCCACCGTCGCACAGTGATCATTCGTCCCTCTTGCAGTGATGAGGATGATGTCTCTGCCGATTTCTTATGGGGCATCAAGTGGGCCAACCGCGGGGGAAGGCTGTTGCTGCAGAAGGGGAAGAAGTATGTCATCGGCAAGAAGCTCGATCTGACCTTCTTGAAGGATATCGAGGTTCAATTGGACGGAGAACTAAAGGTACTTTAGCCCAAGATCCCAGACCCAGTCCTAGCTGGTGCTAACACTATGGAAAGTTCACCAATGATGTTCCCTACTGGCAAGCAAACAATTTCTATTATGACTTCCAGAAGTCAATCAGCTTCTGGCGCTGGGGTGGTCAGGATATCAAGATCTTTGGTTCCGGGACACTGAACGGCAACGGTCAGCGCTGGTACAATGAGTTTGCTGGACAGGAGATCCTGGTAAGTATCCCTGGAAGATTGTCAATACCTCTCACATAATTGTACTGACGCGCCTAGGATCCCAACAACAAGTACTATCGGCCCATCCTCTTCGTGACTGAGAATGCCACCCGAGTCTCGGTCGAAGGCATTACGCAGCTCAACTCTCCCTGCTGGACCAACTTCTTCGTCCGCACCAAAGACATCTCATTCGATAACGTTTTCATTCATGCCTATTCGACGAATGCATCGGTAGGTTGACCTTCACCTGTGGAAGCAGAGGATAAACTAACGGTGATCAAATAGGCGCTCCCCAAGAACACCGATGGCTTCGACACGCTCAACGTCGATGGATTGACTGTCACTAACACTCGGGTCGACATCGGTGACGACTGCCTCTCGCCAAAGCCCAACACTACCAATGTCTTTGTGCAGAATCTCTGGTGTAATGGCACCCATGGAACGTCGATGGGGAGTATCGGCCAGTACCCCGGAGTCCTGGATATCATCGAGAATGTTTGGATTGAGAACGTAACCCTGCTAAACGGTGAAGTAAGCAATACTCTCCCTCTATTCTCGAGGTCCACGTCTAATTCTATCAGAACGGTGCTCGCCTCAAGGCATGGGCTGGTCCCAATGTTGGCTATGGCCGCATCAACAACGTCACTTACAAGAACATCCACGTCGAGAACACCGACAATCCTATCGTCCTGGATCAGTGCTACTTCAACATAAACGCTACGCAGTGTGCTGCCTACCCTTCACGCGTGAATTTCACAAACATTGTCTTTGAGAATATCTATGGAACCTCGTCTGGAAAACACGGCAAGGTCGTGGCTGATCTGACCTGCTCGCCTAATGCCGTGTGTTCTGGGATCAGTCTTAAGGACATCCACCTCACCAGTCCTGCGGGTAGCCCGCCAGTCATTGTCTGTGATGGAATTCAGGGGGACATTGGAGTTGAATGCCAGTCGTCGACTAATTCGACGACTAAGCGCTCGGTTGGTTTGGCCAGGAATCTGAAATACAAGTCATGAGTGCTTGCAGAGTAGATACTGAATAGGAAAAGACTTTGCTCAAGTCATCTGCTCGACTCTCATTGAGGCTGCGATGAGTAGTGCATTAATGATTCCGTACGCCACTGTGACATTTTCAAACCGGATTGTGACTCCAGTACTTTGCAGCAGTAAGGGCTGCTTCTCCAGAAATGCCGAATGATCAGAATTGAGAAAGAAACGAAACTCAGGTTAATCGATGAGCGGAGACCGTTATGTCTATCGAACCATATTTTGTCGCGTCGGAATTTGGCTCCAAGTCCAACCTAACCCTTTTCAATTGTGCCTTATGGTCAATACATTTCTGGACAGGAGTATTCTGCTTGAGTAATTGAAAATTAAAATCATATGGAAAAGAGGGTGAGAATATCCATTTCATCTTGAGGCGCATGCTTAGAATGAAGGCGGGATTCCATACATTAATACAATATTGAACAAGTATAGGCCCAATCAAAAAGGTGTATACCAGAGATACTCAACAATTCTCAAGCACCAGCAATCTACAAAACAATATCTTACTGATGTATGGATCGTCGAATCAGAATGCAGTCAATTTTGCATTTCAGTGTGCGTGAGGACCTTGGCCCCAGCCCAGGTACCTTGGGAGTTCACGGGTGAAATAGACTCATGCTATAGAGTCAACCACGCAACCAGTAAGAGCTCTTCGATTAATGATGAAGGATTATCTGAACCCACCAAAGACGAACCTTGGGGGTTTAATTGCAAGCATGTCGCTAGCTGGGGATATAAAACTGTGGCCTTCCCACTATGCTGTGTGCGTCGTCAATTTCACTCCAGTCTCGCGTTCAAGGGACAGTGCTGACTTCCAACAAGATGGCCCTTAACTCAGGAACTGACTCTCTCTCCTATCCCGCTCCTGCTCAGCCGGCAGCTGAGGAGAAGCCGACGAGGCAGATCCCAGTGACCCTCCTTTCAGGATTCCTGGTACGTATCTCCTGCAAAAATTGCAATGGCATCCAGTTAAGAGAGAGCAGGGTAGCGGTAAGACAACACTTCTCGAGCATATCCTTCAATCTCCAGACCATGGACTGCGCATTGCCGTTGTGGTCAATGACATGAGCAAGTATGGGTGCCTCGCTATCAGTGTCGGGGAACATTAATGCTTACTAGCAGTACAGGCTGAACATTGACGCTGCTTTGATCACTCATCACAAGGTGTCCCAGACGAAGGAAAAGCTCATCCAGCTCCAAAATGGATGTATCTGCTGCACACTGCGTGGAGACCTGCTCTCAGAGCTTGCTCACCTCTCGCGCCAACAGGAAGTACAGTATGTTGTCATTGAGAGCACGGGTATTAGTGAGCCGATGCAAGTAGCGGAAACCTTCACGGCCGAGTTCAGCAGTGCAATGCTGCAGGCAGATCAGGAGATGATGGTGGATGAGGACAGCCGCAAGGTCCTGACAGAGATGTACGCCCAGTCACTTTTTCAATTCTTATCCTTCCGGTTTTCGGGTCCTGACAGCAGCAGTGTCAATCTAGGAGGCCTTCACACACTGGCGAGACTCGACACCACGGTGACTGTTGTCGATGCATTCAATCTTCTTTCCAATTTTGACACCGCCGAGTTCTTGTCAGATCGATACGGATCCAAAGAAATTATTCCAGAGGATGAACGTACCATCTCCGACCTCATGGTGGACCAGATCGAGTTCGCAGATGTTCTCATCATCAACAAGATCGAGACTGTGAACGAGAATACCCGAGCAAGGATCAGGAGATTGCTAAAAACGCTCAACCCCGACGCCAAAGTCCTGGAAACAAGCTACTCTCGTGTGGATGTGCAAGAGATTCTGGACACGGGAAGGTTCGATTTTATCAAGGCTGCTTCGGGGGCCGGTTGGTTGCGCAGCCTGCATGAAATGACAGTCCAGAATACTGGAAATGGGCAGAGAATGGCTCCAAAGCCGGAGACCTTGGAGTATTTCTCCCCTGCCCTTCATCCAACGTCAAAGTAACGTACACTGACTTGAACAGGTATGGGATCAACAACTTTGTGTATACTGCTCGTCGTCCCTTCCATCCTCGTCGAATCTTCACCCTTCTTCATGATAAGTTTATCCTGCTGCAACACAATGAAGCCGAGGAAGATGATGAGGAAGAGGATGAGAAAGGAGATGCAGACGAAGAGCAAGAGGACGACAATATGGAAATAGACGAAGACGAAGACGAAGACGAAGACGAGGACGATGATGATGACGAAAGTATCTCCGATTTTGACCAGCCAGACCCGTCCGAGATCCTGAAGAACAAGTGCAACCATCCTGCGTTTGGCTCCGTTCTGCGTTCCAAAGGGTTCTTCTGGCTGGCTACACGGCCCTTCCAATTCGGAGAATGGAGTCAAGCGGGTGGCATGCTGACGATTGGATGCGGCGGGCCATGGTTCGCAGAAGTGCCAGACGAGGCGTGGCCCGAGGATCCAGACGTTCGGAAATCCATTGAGAATGATTTCCAAGAGCCATGGGGTGACCGTAGACAAGAAATTGTATTCATCGGCGAGGGGATCAACACTGAACTGATAACAAAATTGCTGGATGAATGTCTCCTGGATGACGATGACATGAGCCGGTGGGCAAAGATCATGAGCAACAAGAAATTGTCTTACCAGCAAAAAAAGGAGAAGCTGGGAAAGCTGTGGGAAGATGGCTGGGAGGCATGGCCTGAGTTTGGCATCGTGGATGAAGACGAGGAGGACAACAAAGAGGGAGGGAAGAAGAAGCACAAACACCACACCAGCGAGTATCTGGGACATGCCCACTCCCACTCCCACTCCCACAAATAACTGCAGTAACTAGACTTGTCATTATAACTAGTCAAAAGTTTCATCAAATTCATATCACATTATTACTCAAAAAGCTTCAGAATCACCATTCATCCACCCGGCTCATTTTCAAATGCATTCCCTCCACAGGCTTGGTCGTCACAGCGCCAGCAATATGAATCTCCTGCTTAGGATCCTGCATCTCAAACTTGAACCGCCCGACAACACCAGCGACCGCACAGCGCAATTCGGCTCGAGCAAAATCCTTTCCGATACAGGACCGCTGGCCATGCAAGAACGTGATTTGCGCATAGTTTGTCGAGGCCCCACCATTGTGGTTGACGACCTTCTGGCCATTTTTGTCGGTGTCGATCCAGCGTTCTGGCACGAACTCCTCCCCATCGTTCCCCCAGAATTCAGGACTGCGGTTGATGGCGTACGGACAGATGAGGATACGAGTGCCTTTGGGGACGTGCTTGCTCGCTATGGTGGTATCGCGGACGGCTTCGCGGATCGTGATGGGAACGGTGGGATATAGACGGAGGACTTCCTGGCAAACGCCGTTGAGCAGAGGCATTGATTCAAGATCGCTCCAGGTGATAGGATGGTTGCCAGAGGGGATGTGCTCGCGAATCTCCGTGCGCAGACGGTCTTGAACGTCGGGGTGGAGGGTGAGAAGGTAGCAGGCCCAGGTGAGTGCGCTGGCGGTCGTCTCATGCTATTCACATCAGCTGAATGATTTTAAAGTGGACTAGGAAGGAGACAGAACATACACCAGCCGCCAGAAAAGTCAGCATTTGATCCACCAGTTCGTCGTCCGTAAAATCCCCGCCCACCATCATGGTTCCCAGGATGTCTGCCTCCAGCTCCTTGGCGGTCATATTGCTGGAAACAATGATCTTCCTCTTCTCACGAACAATGTCCTTGCATAAATCACGCAGGAACCCGGTCTCGGTGTCAATCACCTTGTTCAGGCGCCAGGGTAGTCGTCGTGCAAACCATTGCGGAAGAATAAAGTTGATGGCGAGGAAGGCCATCTTCTCCTTGGTTGGTTCCAGAATAGCAAGAAAGCTATCGGCAACTTTGTTTTCTGGGTTGTGCAGAGACCGAAAGTCTCGACCCATGGCTGCCGGACCGATGATATCGAGAGTGAGGCGGCTGGGGTAGCTTTAGCGAATGTAAGAGAAGCAAGGTGGAAACAATGCGCTTACCTCGCCCACACGCTCATTTCGACCTTACCCACACCGTCCTCCGGACTCGTTCCTTCCATAGGATTCTGCCGGATTTCCTTCTCCAGTTCATCGAGAAAGAGGCCGGTCTTCTCCCACATTAAGGAGTATAATGAGCGAATGTTCTTGATGTTGAAGGCGGGAGTCAGGGCCTTGCGCTGCTTCTTATGCGCGGCGCCCTCAGACAAGATCAAGCCGAAGCCAATGATCCGAGCGAGGAACTCTCGCGCGCGCCATGGTTTCTCAAAGTCGTAAGTATTGGTGCTCATGATATCCAAAAGAGCCTGGTGATTGGTAGGCAACAGGTGGCTGCGATTGAACACATCTCGGAAATGGATCAAGCCTTCGTTGGGGATGGTTTTCATCCATTGCAAGGGCAGTCGGCCCCGCGGGTTATCAAAGATGATTTTCGCATTTACAAAGGTGCCCTACTCACTGTTATCAAAAATTGCGACACGCAGGGTCTCGAGCATACCTTGACGGTTGGCAGATGGCGATTTGCACTGATGAAGAAAGGATAGATGATGAAATCCCAGAATATTTTCAGGGCTAAATTGACACCTACCGCCCCAAGGCAGACTGAATGGAAAGAATACTCGTTCAAGACGGAGCGCTGCAAAAAATACCCCTCAGCCAGGGACACAGAGGCAATAGCGAGCAACGTGTCGGCCATGTTGCTAGCACTCTTGGGGAATGATCACTCGGAGGAAGAAGAATGGTCGGAGTCAAGAAAGAGCACGAGCACACAAACTACCTAAGATAAGAACTGAAAATCGGCTAACTTGAGACCGGCATTGAGATCTTCCTCCGTCGTCTGCTTTTACTGCATCAGTAATTTTATATGCAAGCGATCGGCCAAGATGAACTAGCATTAACATGACCCCACGGGGATCGGCAGAATCGAAGCGGCTATGCGGCCTCGGCTTGGGCGTTCATATGACGTTTCGATACGTTTTGCATGAGATGATACCTT